GACGTGACGTCCACGGTGCAACACAAACCAAACGGACAAGATCCCACAAACACTGTGGGAAACACTGACAATATGGTTCCCATCAGAACAACCAGCAACAGCTGTACTCGTTCCTCTGATGAGAACACTCGGGTCACATAGATATACAAAACTAGACTAGACACAACGAGCACAAAACATAAAACTCTACACACTCTGGCTCAACTTAAAAGAGTCCCTAGAGCCAGGCTGACAGTACCCCCCCTAAAGGCGCGGACTGCGACCGCGCCTAAACATCACCTACAGGGAGGCTGGGTGGGCATTCCTCTCGGAGGCGGGTTCCGGTCTCCGGGCTTGACCACCACCCTCTACTAACCCCCCGTAGTGCCCCTGTCTGGTCTAGCCCCACTGGCTGGACTGGACTGGACTTCGGTGGAGCGGATTGCTCAGGGTCCGGTGTGGAGCAGCTGACCGGTACCTGACCAGGCACCGGTGAAGACGGGCACGGGCTGGCGATGCGCACCACAGGTTTGGTTGCGTGGAGCAGGAACAGGCCGGACCAGGCTGGCGACGCGCACCACTAGCTTGGTGCGGGGAGCAGGAACAGGCCGGGCCGGGCTGGCGATGCGCACCACAGGTTTGGTGCGGGGAGCAGGAAGGCCGGGCCGGGCTGGCGACGCGCACCATTGGCTTGGTGCGGGGAGCAGGAACAGGCCGGGCCGGGCTGGCGACGCGCACCATAGGCTTGGTGCGGGGAGCAGGAACAGGCGGGCGGCTGGCGACGCGCACCATAGGCTTGGTGCGAGTGGCAGGAACAGGCCGGCGGGGGCTGGCGACGCGCACATAGGCTTGGCGCGATGGACAGGAACAGCCGGACCGTACTGGGAACACACACCACTGGCTTACACGGGGTCAGGAACGGGCCGGACCGGACTGGCAACACACTTCAGTACCTCTCGCCGTGCCTCTACATTTTCCTTCCCTCTATACACCAATGGCTCCCGTACCCGGTGTCCTTCTCTCCTCGTCCACCAACTCGCCCCTTATCTGCCTCCAGTGGCCCCATCGTCCCTGCCATGTGCCCCCCCTAAAAATGTCTTGGGGGTGCCCTCGCCTGTCCGACGACTGCCCGGTTGGCGCCGCTTCTCCTCTCCTGCCTGGGCACGCTGCTTGGTCCTGGATTGGTGGGATCTTCTGTCACGATCGTCGGATATAGAGGACCAAGGCGCAGCGTGGAAGGTGAACATACTTATTTATTAAATGATACACAAACAAACAACAAATCGATACGTGACGTCCACAGGTGCAAAACACAAACCAACACGGAACAAGATCCCACAAACACTGGGGGAAAACCACCTGACTAAATATGGTTCCCAATCAGAGACAACCAGCAACAGCTGATACTCGTTGCCTTCTGATGAGAACCACTCTGGCCAACATAGATATACCAAAAACTAGACTAGACACAACGAGCACAAAACATAAACTCTACACACCCTGGCTCAACTTAAAAAGAGTCCTAGAGCCAGGGCGTGACAGCAGTAAATGGATGGCTTAGAGTTACAAATGTTTATGCAATACTATGCAGTCATACGTATTTTACAGTACATTACTGTAATGCTAAAATAGTCATTAGATAGTTGCCATACCTGTTCTCATTTCTGAAGGTTTGAATTATGGACACCACTGTGAGAGAGGCTGGACTCTCAGTCCAGCCTCTCTCATGGTCAAACCGTGGTTGATCACATGATCAACAAGTGTTGCCTAATCTCATCAGAGATGCTCTCCTTCCTTCTCTTCTTTGCCCTCGTCCTCTTCTTCCTCTTCCTCTTCCTCCTACTCCTCCTCTTCCAACTCTTCGTCTTTGAATTTGTCCTCGTTGTTGTCCCCTGTCTCTCCCTCCTACTCCTCTTGCTCTCTGTCCATTGTTGGCATCCATTGTTCAAAAACAGGTAATCTGACCTTTGACCTATTTATAGGCCTATACTACAGTAAAGCAGTGATTGGTTAGTGATCAGTTAAGCAATTAGTGTTTGCACATGTGAGGAGTGGTGTGTGTGACCTGGTGAATAAGTGTAGCATTTGATTGGTTGTGTTTGGAAAAGGAAAGCAAGTCACTTCCTGTTAGATTTTTGTGTTTTAGGTAGAGAATTGTGTGTAGTGTTTTGAAAAAAGTGTTTTATGCAATTGACAACTGAGTCAAAGGCTGAGAAATAGCTTATGGTTTTAGAGATTTGATGTGTAGTTTTGCACTTTGAGTGAGAGGTTTCAAAAATCGTGGTGACATGAAAAGATTTTGTGTGTAAGCAGTTGGAAAAAAACTGTAACAGAAATAGATGGATGTCTTTCCTCTCAACTACTACCCAGATAGAGACACAAAATATACTGGAAATACAACTTGTGTGCCAATACATGTGATAGATCTTACGAATTGATCTAAAAAAAAAAACAATGTGATGGTGTCAGAGGCTGATGTGGATTGCGGTGTTGGAGTCAGGCGGCAGGACACAAAAGCTTAGTCGAAAACGACTTTAATTGTCACAAAGACAAATACAAATAACGGGCCTCAAAACACAGGAGGCGAACGCATTACGCAGACAGTGCGTAAAACACTAACAACTAGAAAACAATAAACATACACCAGCGGACAGGCGGGACAACAACACACAACTGCAAACAAAAACCAAAGGAAACTTATAGGTGACATAATCAATACATAATACGAAACAGTTGCACCAACAAGACAAAACCAAACAAACATAGAGAACATCAAGCGGTAGCAGCTCGTACTCCGGGGACGACGAACGCCGAAGCCTGCCCGAACAAGGAGGAGGAGCAAGTCTTGGCGGAATCGTGACAGTACCCCCCCCCCCCCTTGACGCGCGGCTCCAGCCGTGCGCCGACCCCCGGCCTCGGGGACGGCCAGGAGGACGTGGAGCAGGGCGCGTAGGATGACTACGGTGGGAACTCAGTCAGGAGGGATGGATCTAAAATGTCCCTCCTAGGCACCCAGCACCGTTCCTCCGGGACCGTACCCCTCCCACTCCACGAGATATTGTAGACCCCCAATCCGACATCTCGAATCCACGATGGACCGGACTGAGTACGCCGGCCAAGCTTCCGGCAGGGCAGGCGAAGGGGCAGGTTTCGAGTCGAGAGCCAGACTCGATCTCCAGGGGCGTATACTGGACCCTCACTGCGGTGGAGATCGGCGCTCGCCTTCTGCCCGCGGCAGATGTACGTGTGCAGCGTTCCACGTCTCCTCCGAGCGCCGAAACCACTCATCCACCGCAGGAGCCTCGATCTGGCTCTGATGCCATGGTGCCAGAACCGGCTGATACCCTAACACGCACTGAAAAGGGTCAGGTTAGTAGAGGAGTGGCGAAGAGAGTTTCTGAGCCATCTCTGCCCAGGGGATATACCCCCGACCACTCCTCCGGCCGGCCCTGGCAATAGGATCTCAGAAACCTACCCACATTCTGGTTTCACTCTCTCCACCTACCCATTACTCTCAGGGTGGTAACCCGAGGTAAGGCTAACCGAGACCCCCAAGCGTTCCCATGAACGCCCTCCAGACTCTAGAGGTGAATTGGGGACCCCGATCAGACACTATATCCTCGGGAACCCCGTAGTGCCGGAAGACGTGGGTGAACAAAGCCTCAGCGGTCTGTAGGGCAGTAGGGAGACCCGGCATTGGAA